GGTGGCCGCGTAAATGGGTTCGCGACCAGCGACGAAGAAGAGGAGTTCGACGTTCATGAACAGAGGAGCAAGCGGATCGCCTCGCAGGCAGTCGAATCACGACAGATTCAGTGAGCAGTGGAAGCTTTGATCGACTGGATTCACACCGCAGGTTGTGCAGTTCGGTGAGATGGAGGAGGAACAATCTGCAAGCGAGGGCCAAAAATCTGCGACAAGGCTGCTAGCAGGGGATTTCAGAGCAGGAGTTAGATCTTGCGAGCAGCTCGGCCAGAGGGAAGAGGCAGAGATCGCGTAGAGAAGGGTTTGGGGAGTTCCCTGTTCGGGAGTTCGCGAAGCAGGAGGACCTGAGCAGTTTGGGGAGGCGCAACGACTCTGGAGAGGCAGTTATTCTCGTGCGAGAGGCAGAGAAGGAATTCCTGATTTGTTCCCGCTGGACGCAGAGGACAGAGGAGTGCCTGCGGGAAGGAGGCGCGAGCACAAAATTGGAAGTTTTCTTCGGTGAAGAGGTGTGATCTCTGTCAAAAGGGACCGGAGCTCTCCGTTCGGTTGGCGAAGGCAGTGAAGTTCACGGGGAGAAGGTAAGAAAATTGATGAGAATTTCTAGGACAACAAGGCGTTAAAAGGCAGGTTTAGGCTGAAAACTTTTTGGTTGCTATACAATAGTACAACATTTTGGTGATTTCAGTCTAGTTCTTGGAAGGGTAGCAGATAGAATTCATTGGAAGAAATCCTAGCCATGATAATGAATTCTGCCAAATTCGACATTGAGAAATTCAATGGGTAGAACGACTTCGGCCTATGGAGAGTAAAGATGAGAGCTCTATTGGTTCAACAGGGAGTTGCAGGCAGAAGCCTTGCAAAGGTCGGCGACATTGTCGGCCAACATGACCGAGAAGAAGAAGATCGGCATACTGGACAAGACCCACAGTTTGATAATCCTGAGCTTGGGCGACAAAGTCCTGAGGGAGGTTTCTAACGAGACAACGACTCAAGCACTTTGGGCCAAACTCGAGGTACTCTCCTTGACAAAGTCTCTGGCTAATAAGCTTTTTCTGAAGCAGCGCCTATACTCCTTCAAAATGCTTGAAGACAAATCCATCTCAGAGCAGATCGACGAGTTCAACAAGATCATCAACGAACTCAAGAACATCAACGTCAAGATGGATGATGATGACAAGACACTGTTGTTGCTAAACTCTATTTCTAAGAGCTACGAGCATTTCAAGGATGCGATGCTCTATGGAAGGGTGCAGACTATTACTCTAGAGGAGGTTCAATTTCTGATTAGAGCCAAAGAACTTCAGAGGAAGCATGACAGAGACAAGGAAGTCTCCGGAGAAAGTCTTATTGTCAGAGGAAGATCGGACAGGAAAGATTCAAGAAATGGTCAGTACAGATCAAGGTCAATCAAGGATGGCGGGAATCAGTTATCAAGGGGATCTTTCAAGTGTTATCATTATCAGAAGGACGATCATTTCAAGAGGAACTGCCCAGACATAAAGAATAAGTACCAAGAAGAGCCAGAAGAATCAGGAGAAGCAAGCATGACCTCTGATGACTACGATTCTGCTGAGGCCCTGGTGATCATAGAATCTGAATCCAGTAAGGAGTGGATCCTCGACTCTAGGTGTTCTTTCCACATGTGTCCTCACAAAGACTGGTTCGAGACACTGCAACAGGAAAATGATGAGTTCGTTCTACTGAGAGACAATAAAGCTCACAGGGTTGTTGGAAGTGGATCAGTCAGGAAAAATGGGTTGTACTCTCTTATCAGAAGAACCATGATTGTTATGTCCATGTACTATTTGGACTTAGCAAACTCAAGAAGGGCTGAGGCCCCTCAGGGGCCAGGTGGAGGGAATCTTTACTTCGAAGCTTCTCAATTGAGGGTCAATGTGGAGAACTGTTATTTTGACCCACAATTACTGAACTAAGGTAAAATGACACTTTTGTAATGTGGTACCGCTCACCTACCACATCTCACCTACCGCCCATCTATCGCTCACCTACCTCTCACCTCACCTATCACTCTCTTGCTTTCTTGCTTCTATAAATAGAGAGGGTGTGAGCCTTAGGAGAGCAAGGAAAGAGATCTTAAGCTACCAAAAAGGAGGAGAGAGTAGCTAGAAAGCTGGAGAGGAAGAGAGCATCTTGAGGCTTTGTATCAAGGTGTCGCTTGAGAGGGAGGCCATAGAAGAAAGATGAGGGCTCATCTCTATGTATAAGCTATGTATTCTTCATTTCTTTTGCCTCAGTGAACTATTTGATTGATTCCCTCCCGTGGACGTCGATCCAGTTGGATCGAAGCACGTAAACGATCTGTGTTTGCTTGTGTTCTTTGCGCTTCATTTCTATGCCAGAAAGTACATATCTCACAACACTCGTCATAGACAACATTTTAGCTAAGTTTTAAGATTGTAAGGACTAGGCATTTTCTTATATATATCTTACGATATCACAGTTTAGTAAAAGTATAGGGGATCGAACTCATAGTCTCACTAATAAAAATAGAGATATGAAGAAGCTTAAAAATCTCCTTATTCCATTCAAAGCTAGTAATTAAATTTGATAAACAGTTTCATTTAAATTAAGTTCATAAAACACCTAAATCTTCATATTTATATGCATCGCACTCAAATCATTAATATCATGTAAAAAATTTCACTATCTTTTTAAATGTGAAAATCACATTTTCATACATAAGTTTATGACACTAAAATGGTATAAATATAAATATGAAAGTTTAGATTTTGGATATGTAAATATAGAAGAATTGTGTGATGCGTGTGTGTGTCTTTATGAGTATGTGTTCTTGCAAGCCTATGGCCTCGCTACGATCAGAGTATGCTGCGTAGTAGATTAGAGAAAGGCTGGGAAAATTCTTATACTAGACATGGTCAGATTTCCTGAAGTTTAATGAATTTTGTGTGCTACTAAATAAGGCTGTAAACAAGCCGAGTTTGTGCGAGAGATTTGACTTATATTCTACACATTTAAAATTACTTCGTGTTTGAAATTGTTCGTGAATAATGTGTTCGACTCTATTTACACGAAATTATTACATTTAGATTCCGCAGTACGACTGATAATATTTTACGTGTTATTTATAGTATTGTGGTGTAATTTTATCACAAAACAACCACACATCCACCAATAATACCTATAATATTACTGTCCACAAGTAATCCGAACATAGTTTATCCGATGTAATAATTTCGCCTGATTTACATATTTTTGTTTGTCCAACTCGAAATTGGCTCTTTTAAATTAAATTTAAAAAATTAAATATAGGGTGCTAAATTTAAATCTACATTATTTATATGGTGATTGAAGACGCATAACCACATGACTACAAGAAATATTTTAATTGAAACTTAAACAAAAAAATATATAACATATTAATATATAAATTTAAATATAATTCGCCAATCATGTCACAACAAATTATTGTTAGATATGAATCAGGTGGTGTATGTGTTTATATCTCGAAGGAGAAATAGTCTCATTCTTGTAAGAAGCCCGAAACTCGTATTCTCCAACCACCCAAATTCATGTTATCTTCCTCCTCCTCATCGACATCTCTCTTCTCTTAAATCACCGCTGATAAATTCTTAATTGTTTATTTCAGACGCATATCACTTACTCTTTAATCTCGTAATCTGTTATTGTAATATGGAGGAACAAACCAACGACATTTTCTACAAGGAGATTGAAGAGCGCATCATACTCATCCTTTCTGATGAAAAGAATGAATCAAAACCAATAAAAAAAGACAAAACACCTTTGCCCTTCATCAACCAAAAAAGACCAATATTTTTCTCGAAGTTTTGTTGCATGTTTGATCCCATTAATTATGGATTGATTGATAATGGGGCCCACCCGCGACAAATGTAGGGAAACTATAGATGCTCTACGATAAAGATCATATAAATTTGGATGATTTTCTTTTATTAATATTTATGGTTGACTTTTTTGTTGTTGTTTAGTTTCTCTAAAGCATTTGAGGGTAAA